GTCTTCAAAAAGGTCTGCATACTGCAGGAAGCTTGAAAATAGAGCATAAAGTTCAGGATAGAACTGAAGTCCATTTTTTTAAAACTTTACCTGAAGGGAACCTTCGACCGACAGCTGGCTTCGGAGGGACGCGTAACGTGACAAAGACAAAAGAGAGGGCGGAGGGACGCGTATTTCTCGCGTCCTGCAAAAACTGTTCGGAAGGTAGATAGGATTTACCTCCCAACCGGCAAAGTACCCCGCCCGTCTGATGAGGTTCTCCCAGCGATGCTGTACGCTGTTTGCTTGACTCCTTGACCTAGTGAGCGACAATCTTTACAAATCCAAGCTTTGAGAAGGACCTTGGCTGAAGTGGCATGGCTTTCAGGGAGCGATTAGGCAATGCGACAGAGAGTGACCTTGCCGTTCATCGAAACGAGGCAATAGATGAATTCTCGGACGAAAGATTAAACGGGAATTTATATTACAAATTGTTTCCGTATCGGATCACCATTGAGAATCGGCAAACTTGTTAAAGGCAGTTGGCACGATTAATCCCGAAGAGTTAAAGGCAGCTGGCACGATTAATCCCGAAGACGAGTAGGATAGATACGTCTGGCAAGATGGAATTTCGCGCCTCTGAGCAGACGCTGTGTAGCACCTTTCTTTAGGAAGGTACCCTTATAAGGTCCTATCAAGCCGTTACATACCGACCCGGACGCCCACCGCGCCCGCTAAAATATGAAACGAAGAGATTGATATGAAGCAACCGCGGTCTTGCAAGGATTCATGTGTACATACGTGCAGCTATACCTACCACACCGGTTATTGGCAAGATGCCTACGGGAAACTCGTCCGAAATTGCTTTTCGAGTCATTAAGAACGAAGGCTTTTCTTCGCAGTTTTTGACCGTTTCACTTCGTTTTTTCGCCATTTTCCCCACTATATAGCACCCTTGCTAGCATTTCAAGACCGAGTACCAAATTATCGTGCCGTATGCCTTGAAGAGAACTCACATGATCAGGGGTTGGCAATTGGGCATATGTGAATGCATTGCGCCACCGCGGCAGCTCGTCGTACTTCTGGGGATCTCGAGCCAAATCGGCGTTCGTGCCGCCGTTACAAGAACGACGTCCGTGTCGCCATCCGCATGTAGAAAGATGCCATCTAAAAATATTCTCGCTAGCGCCGCTGGTAACGGAATGAAAACAAAAAGGACGTTACAAAGGAGATAGATCGGCTTGGTCAGTTGCCTCTCTTTCAGGACAGTGTGAGGGCTAGTATGTTGTGCTCACCTGACTGCCACTTTGTCCCAGTGTTTGCAACGCAAAGCTTCTGGTCCATGCCAGTTGTAGGTCCGGCTGCCGATGAGCTCCCACTGTTCTTCTCCACTCTGAAACGGAACTGTTTTCAAGAGAGGTTAATGCGGAGGGGATCTTCTGAATCATCCTTCAAGTCGCTATATTGAAATCTCATGCATTTCCGAACTTTTTACGTTAACAGGAGAGTTTATGAGTCTCTGGCCCTCGACATTTTAATATGTTGAGCAAATTGCACCATGTGAGACGGCAATAATTGTTCGGTTTTCTACTAAATATTTCACACACTGTTGAGCGCACAATTCACTGACTCACTCTCTCCAAAGGGCGGGAGTGGTACAGTGACAAGTAGAGCTTTTCACAACTCGCACGGCCCTTAATGAAAACTTTGATTTGCATATCAGCTGAGCTACTGCGCAAACGTGCTTACTGCCCCCGAAAGGCCAACTCTAGCAAGGCAAGTTAATGCATATATGCCCGTAGAGGGTAGACAGTGCGATGGTGACATGTTCTGATGTCGACAGAGCCACTGAAGAACATGCAATACTGTCTCGGTAAGAGGGTGCAGACAGGTAGGCATGATGCCGTTGGTCCCTCTATGGAGGCCCGTGGCGCCCCCAAAAAATTGCATCTCCAAATTATATACTTCTAATAACATCAATGCTTGATACAAGCCTATGCAAAAAAAGACTGATCGACGCTTCATTTTTTCATTCCACCTCCAACTACCACAGAATGACGCAGATCGGCTGACGGGGGGGGGGGCGCTAAATGGTGCTCAGCGAAGTTTGTTTAGCCATTTCGTGAAGACCTATAAATTCGGGTCACCGAAGTTGCTTACTTGTACCTTTTCCACAGCTTCATCAGATTTTATAGGCCATTTCGGTGAAACCTGTTACTTACAATTAGCAGGAAATAAAGAAGGGAACCAGCAAAATGCCCCTCCTCCTCCAGCCTCCCCTACTCCGTTTAGGCAGAGAGCGTCAAACATTCTAAGCCTCCTTTTCGCTTCAGCTAGGAAATTTGCATCTCGAGTATAGGTATCTGTTCTGCTGACAGGACAGCGCTGTTGCAAGTAAAGTCGCTTTTGCTGCTTGAGGTGAAGGTGTCACAACAAGCCGGAGAAGTACCTGAGTAAGAATGTGCGCGGCGAGTAACTTTTTGCTCGTTACGGTAACTACTGGCCCTGTGAAAAATGTGTTACGCTGGGGACTTCTTCAGTAAGGATTCCTAAGTGATTGATTTTGTGAAATTTTTTTTGATTCTCTTCCCATCAAACGGAGGAGTCGTAAGAGCACAGCTGCAAGTTTTCAAATGCAGATGTTTCTACCAGCACCATTATCTCTTCAAGAAAAGCTGGCACTCAATAACCGGCACCTAATTGATAGCTGTCTCTGAGCGACGTTTTTAGGAGCTAAGCTCTATCTCTCGTCAAAGATTTACCTCGCCCTTCAACTTTCAAAATACAACAATACTAGTTTTGGAACCAAGGGAGCTTTGGCTACGAATCTGGAAGTAAACCACTTGAATATCTGCTCCGTCAATGGCAAAAAAGGGGTTTGATCCTCAGTGACAGATCAAGGCGTGCAGCTGAACGTCAGCACCCTCTGAAAACGATGGCATTACACCGCACAATGGGCGGACGCGACAGACAGAGGTGTAACCCTCGAGGTATGAGAACAACTGCCTCGGCTGGCTTATCGATACATTCACCATCACTTCCTTCCAGCTCAACTCCGACTCGGCTGAACTCTGCATACATTTTTCCGTCAGTACTGGCTTATCCTTTTCATATGTTTACGTGCGTGGACAATGTTGCTTGTTCTACGCGACCCTTTCACTTCACTTGATAGATGAAGCTTTCGGTGTTGATTAAATCTTACTTGGAATGCGCCACGCATTCGTCTTCCATACAAAATCAGGATGGCAATGAGGTTCGCCTTAAAGAAAAACGTTCAGGGCTCCGAATAGTGCACTACGATGCTTCCCCATCCAGACGAGGGTGGAACCAACTAACCAGCAGGAAGTGGAGGAAGGCTTGGTTGATTCGGCGAGAGTTAGCCGTAGTTAAGCGGACCACTTACCGCTGAACTACCTCCTTCATTCTCAAACTTTTTAAAGGAAGAACCCGCGATTACTCGCCATCTCAGATGGTGGATTAGGGGGTTCCATATAGACGACAAGGGGTTGAGTAACTCGACTGTGAACAAAAAAGCACAAAAA